CTCACCCGGGAGCGGGGCGTGGAGTGGCCTTGCAGCGTCCCTGGGAGCGACCTGGCCCTTGCGTGGGTGCTGGGTGACAGCCGCTCTGCTCTGCATCTCCACGCTGGTGTTGCTTAGAGCTGTGGCCGCCTGTTATGCTGTGAGGCGATTCATACTCTTGCCACACAGAGGGGAAAAATGTCTTTGGTGTCTGAGTTCCTAGCAGGGCTCAGGGGGGACCTGTGCGCACTGCAGGCCCTTACACGCATAGAAGTCTGTTGGCTGCGCAAAGTGAATGGTAAAAACCAGACGACAATCTCAACAGTGTGTTGTCAGTGGCGTAGGGAATAACACGGTGTGGTATCTTTCAGATAGGATTGTGAGTGTTAGCACTGTTCCACCTGTAAAGCATGGTCAGCCTTGATTTTTCTTATGTGAAGAGTATGTCTGGTTGCGTCCCTAAGGTAAAGTAGTTGGTTTTCAGTAAGGCAGAAGTCAAAGTTCTGTACGTTTAAAAAAAAACCCAAAGAATTTTTAAGTGACTCTTGGAGGAATTTGTCCAGTAGTGCGCTGGAGGATAAATTGGGATGCTCTGGATGGTGGTTCCTCAGCTTATCTGGCAGTGCACAAACAGGCCAGAAACTGTGGCAGGAGAGATGCAGTTGTGTCTATTTGCTCAGCATTCTGATGTACCTAACTTTATGTATATGTGTCATGTGGGAATTATGTGAATAAACTGAATTTTCTAGATGATTAATACAGTTGAGTAACTCCAGCTGTTATTTATGTCCTTATAATGCTCTTTCACTTATGTTAGCTTATTATCTCACTGCTATTTATGTATTTTTATCGTTACAATCCATCTTTAAGACAGGCAAACGTTACCTGGTTTTACAGGAAGGAGACAAAAATCAAAAAATATCATAGGTATGGCTTGTTTGAGGACTGAAGCTATGTCTTAGCATCTGTGGCAGAGTCTGACTGCCCTTTACTTAGGGCAGTTTGTGTGCTCTTAAATATTCTGCCTGTTGTGCTGCAGTTCTGGTTGTTTAATCTCTTAAGTGGTTTGTTTTATCGGTCAGGATCTGGGAGTGTTGCACTGCTGTTACGATCTACCCATGTTGGTCTTATTTTGCCAAGTGCTAGCCTAGGCATTGAGAGGAGCAATTACATGCTCTTAGGCCATAGCCACACTTCAAAGAGCTATTTGGACAGTTTCTGCAAAGGATAAAGATGATCAAGTAAGAGCATACCAGGACTCTTCACACCCCACAC